AAACAACAGCAGCAACAATACAACAGAAACCATTAACAACAGCAGCACCAACAACAGCAGCCACCAACAAACAGCAGCACTAACAACAGCAGCACCAACAACAACAGCAGCACACAAAAACAGCAGCACCAACAACTGCAAGCACTACAACAACCAACAGCACCAACAACATACGCAGCACCAAACAACAGCCAGCACTAAAAACAGCAGCACCACCAACAGCAGCAGCACCAACAACAGCAGCAGCACCATCAACGCAGCACTAACAACACAGCAGCAACACAGCAGCAGCACAACTCAACAAGCAGCACCAACAACAAACAGCAGCAAGCCGCAGCGAGCAACAACAACAAACAGCAGCCACCCTAACAACAACAGCGCCAACAAACAGTAGCGACCAACAACAGTAGCACCAACAACAGCAGCACCAACAAACAGCCAGCACTAACAACAACAGCAGCACCAAACAACAGCAGCACCAACAACAGCAGCACCAAAAACAACAGCAGCACCAACAACAGCAGCACCAACAACAACAGCACCAACAACAGCAGCGCACAACTGCAGCTGGCACAACACAGCGCACCAACAAACAACAGCAGCAACACAACAACAGCAGCACTAACAACAACAGCAGCTCCACCAACAAAAGCAGCAACAACAGCACCACAACAAAAGCAGCTACAAACAAGCACCACCACCAACAGCTGCACAACAACAGCAGCGCCCAACAACGCTCCACAACAACAGCAAGCACAACTAACAACAGCAGCCACCAATAACAGCAGGCACCAACACAGCCAGCACCAACCATACAGCAGCAGCGACCAACACAGCAGCACCAACAACAGCAGCACAACAACAGCAGCAGCACCAACAACAGCAGCACCAACAACAGCAGCACCAACATCAACAGCAGCACCAACAAAGCCAGCAACAACACACAGCAAGCACCCACAACAACAGCAGGCACCAAACAACAGCAGCACCAACAACAACAGCAGCACCAACAACAGCACCACCACAACAGCAGCACCAACAACAACAGCAGCACCATAACCCAGCCGCACAACAACAGCAGCCACCAACAACAGCAGCAGCCCACGATTGTTCAACAGCAAGCACCAACAACAGCAGCACCACAAACAACAACACCCACAACAACAGCAGCACAACAACAGCGCACCAACAACAGCCAGCACCAACAACAGCAGCACCAACAACGCAGACCCACAAAACAGCAGCACAACAAAAAAAACCAACAGCAGCACAAACAACAGCACCCACCAACAACAGCAGCACCCAAACAGCAGGCACCAACAACAGCAGCCAGCACCATGAAACAGCCAGCACCAACAACAGCAGCACAACAAAAACTGCGGCCCAACAACAGCAGCAGCACAAGAACAGAGCGCCAACAAACAGCAGCACCGACAACACACAGGCGCACCAACAAAAGCAGCACAAACAACAGACAGCACCCACAGCAACAGCAGCACCAACAACAGCGCACCAACAAACGCAGCAACAACAAACAGCACCAATAAGCAACAGCAGCACCAAAACAGCAGCACCAACAACAGCAATGTATAAACAACAGCAGCACCAACAACAACAGCAGCACCAAACAACAAAACAGCAGCACCAACACAGCCAGCCACTAACAACAACAGCACCAACAACAACAGCGCACCAACAACAGCAGCCATAACAACAGCACCCACAACAACAGCAGCACCAACAACAGCAGCACCAAACAAGCAGCAACAACAACAGCACAATTAACAACAGCAGCACCAACAACAGCAGCACCAACAACAGCAGCACTAACAACAGCAGCACCAACAACAACAGCAGCACCAACAACAACAGCACCAACAACAACAGCAGCACCAACAGCAGCAGCACCAACAACAGCAGCAGCACCAACAACAGCAGCACTAACAACAGCAGCAGCAAAAAACAGCAGCAGCACCAACAAAAGCACCACCAACAACAGCAGCAACAAAAACAGCAGCCCCTACAACAGCAGCATCACTAACAACAACAGCAGCAACAACAGCCGCACCAACAACAGCAGCAGCACTAACAGCAACAGCAGCACTAACAACAACAGCAGCAACAACAGCAGCAGCACTAACAGCAACAGCAGCACTAACAACAACAAAAGCAACAACAACAGCAGCAACAACAGCACCACCACCAACAAAAGCAGCAGCAACAGCAGCACCACCAACAAAAGCAGCACCAACAACAACAGCAGCACCACCAACAACAGCACCACCACCAACAAAAGCAGCAGCAACAGCAGCACCACCAACAACAGCACCACCACCAACATAAGCACCAACAACAGCAGCACCACCAACAAAAGCAACAGCAACAGCAGCACCACCAACAACAGCACCACCACCAACATAAGCACCAACAACAGCAGCACCACCAACAAAAGCAACAACAACAGCACCACCACCAACATAAGAGGCTTCATCAAGGAGAAACTTCTGGTTCAATTTGTATTTTAGTTTTTTCCTCCACATTCACTCCTACTTTTTGTTACACTGATAAACAGATGACTTCTTTTTTTCTCACGGCTCATGATTTAAAAAAGTTTTTTCTAATCTGATTAGTTTTTAAAATAATATTTGCGTTATGCTGGGTTATCCTGGGTTCCTAACCCTCCGGGTTAATAACATGAATAAAATTTTGATTTGACAGTTTTATGCGTCTCAGATTTAATGTTTACATTTGGTTAAGTCTACTGCTGCAGGTGGGGATACCAGGCTTGTCCAGGCTGCAAGGTAGCGACATGACATCAATCTGTTGAGGCTTCTTCAGTCACATACAGGTGTGCATGACCTACCTCCACTCCTGGGCCCCGCTCACATGTTACGTCAACTCCAACTGCTTCATCTCACCTCTGCTTTAGTATATAAGATATGGATGCATGCCCATGCTTTAGTCTTGAGAGACTGACTCCCTTCCATCCCAGGGTGACGGACTCACCACCTCACTACTACTCCAGTGTTATACTCAACTGTTTTCGATTGAAGAAGTCGGTTGTGAAGGCGATACGTTTGTGCAATAAAAATCACAGGTGTTGCACATGTCTTATTCATCAACTTTTCGGTATTGCATTCCATCAATATGATACTCGGTTTATGTTGTTGAATGATCCACAGATACGAGGCTTTCTTGCATGAATATCAATGATAGATGGATTGACTGGGGTTAATCTCCCCCCTGACTTTGATCTATGAAGTTTACTTTCAAGTTCTTCTCGTATTATCATCCTCAGACTGCTAGTGGACAGCCCAGACGTATAATTGACTCCTTCCTTGACGACACACTACCTTGATAACTTATCATTGTTATCATACTCTGAACACCAATATAAGAGAACCTCGCCTGCGTTCTTTATAATTGTGTTCTTCACTACTACTATCACTTCCTTATTTCTTCGCCTCCTACTGTATAGTCTTAAGGCCTTCTCTGCTTTTGTCACCCAGTTTGCGACTTGACAATGGTCCACTAAGGACCGAAAAGTAGACCTTTGAGGGTGAGGTACGAGCATAGCGAAGATCACTGTACCACAACGATGGCACTGCCATCACCGGTGGCATTATCATCACTTTACTCACTTTCTTCACCTTCATTAATTAGGCGTTATTTAGCATGGTCCTAAAACTGATTTATCCTGTTTCAGACGTTGTGGTAATTAAGGCGCTTGCGCGAGGGTCATTAATACAACATAACACGTAAATAACCAATCAATAATACTTTAATCACTACAACAGACATTGAACCAAATTTCTAATGAATATATAATGATAGATATAAACATATATATATATATATAATATATATATATATATATATATATATATATATATATATATATATATATATATAATATAATTACTCCTGTCTGGTGATAGTAAAATCCATTCCAGTCTTGTATATGAAGTGTGGATGACATGCATGATGACGCTGACGGGAGTCATGTCATGTCTCAGACTTCATGTCATCTATCATGGAGCCTTTCTGTAGGTCTTCCTCCTATCATAGGATAAAGGTCACTTCCTAACATATGGTGGTTGGATTTCCACTCGAAAACAGTGGCACCATAGAGTAGCGTTGTAGAGTGTAGCGTAGCGACCACGGGAAGGTTAGTTAGTTTAATATGTTTATTATGCACCCCGTACCCATCCTGTGGGCGGTGGTCAAAAGATTACAGAGGTACATAATGGGTCCAGGGACTGGGCCTCAAAGTTTTGATGGCTGAGCAAGTTACAGAGGTAATGAATTCACAATTTACAAAGGTAATGAACTCACAATTTACAAAGGTAATGAACTCCAGGTAGGTCTAGTCACAATCATGACAAGTTACAAAGGTATTTACAGATTACAGAGGTACACAATGGGTCCAGGGACCGGGCTCCAAAGTTTTGATGGCTGAACTAGGTACAAGGTAATGAACTCACAAGTTACAAAGGTAATGAACTCACAAGTTACAAAGGTAATGAATACTGTAAGAATGGTTACTTGCGTTTATACATGGCTGCAATCATGAACAAATTTTAGAGTAATGAGCAATTCACACTTCCACACCCGGTCACAACTGTAGTGAGTTATTGGTGCAAATGTTTTATTGTTGAGTCACACACACACAACACACACACACACACACACACACACACACACACACACACACACACACACATATATAAACACACACACACACACACATACACAAACTCACACACACACACACACACTCATACCACACACACACACACACACACACACACACACACATACACATACACGCACACACAAACACACATACAAACACACACACAGGAGCTTGGACTCGACCCCTGCAATCTCAACTAGGTGAGTGCACACACACACACACACACACAACACACACACACACACACACACACACCACATACACACACACACACACACAACTCGCACACACAAAAAAACAAACACACACACACACACACACACACACACACACACACACACACACACACACACACACACACACACACACACACACACACACACACACACACACACATATGGTAATGCTTTATTTACAGCTAGCAAAGTCAGGGTATTTCTCCAGAATGGTCTGTAATATACCACTGTGGATAAAATACTTAGCCATTTCTTGAACACTTCTGAGTGAGTTGTTTCTAAATTCATTAATTTTATCGCACTCCAGTACATAATGACGCAGGGTGTGACAATAATCCATCTGGCAAAGTTTACATTTCGTTTGGTCTACATCTGGTGGTGGTGATTTAACCTGCCAAAGATACTTGTAACCCAGCCGGAGCCGGGCGGTAGTGACATCCAAGAGTCTGCTTATTTTGTTGGATGGTGTGACACCAGCCAACACTCAGCCTCAGTGGAAATGTTACATTGACCCTGTCGTGGGTTATCCTGGGTATCCTGCGTTATGTCTACTTTATATTGGTGGGTTAGTTTAATGAGGTTTAAAGCCTATCCACTGCTCGAGGGTCATTAAGGACACCAGTGGCTATCTTGGGTTATTAACCCTCAGGGTTAATGATCTGATCAAAATTTCTTATTCTTATTCTTCTATTGACAGCGCACTCAGCTCACACACTAAGGTCCGTGGTTAGATCCCCGGTATGACTGAGAAAATTAGGACGTGTTTCCTTAAGACACCTACTGTTCATGTTCTCCTATCTGTAAAAATATGTACCTGGGTGTTAGTAGACTGGTGTGGGTCGCATCCTGGGGACAAAATTGACTAAATTTGTCTAAAATGCTCTGCATAACAAGCGGCTTTTTATAAAGTAGTATGTCAGTGATGTCAGCTATGGCCTGTATACCTTGTACATGTACTGGTAGAAATAAAGATATTATTATTATTATTCTCCCTGAACGCCTCTCCCTCACAAGATAACACAAACATCCGTCCAGTGTTATTCTCTCAGTCAGATAACGTAACTTATCTAGGTTACACAAATGTTTTTACACAGTATGGACTACTTACAGGAATGGTAATTTGTTTGACAGAAATGGGTTCTTGATCCAAAGAACTGGACCTATCTTTCCCTCCCTTGGATAGAGCCTGATTGTCTCCCATTTTCCCCAGGCTCGTTATACCCCCTATGAATTTAGCGCTTTCCTATAATTAAAGCCACAGTTATAGCCATGTCATCTACGTATTTAACTATGCTGTAACGTAGTTCAGAATATAATCACTGTAGTGATAACCACTTCTCTTAGATCTTATCACGTGACGGTATCGTCAGATGAAGATATTTTTCACTGAGTCAATAAAGAGAAGACTGGACGGGATTCGTACTGCGGTCCTGTCAATAGCAGGACCACGATTTGAACCCCGGCACATACTTCTGTTCATTATCTGACAGCCGTTCATTGAGATTTATCTGAGTTTATTAAATAGAGGTGTTTAAAAAAAAATTTGGTTTAATCGATACATCGTAGCCATCCATTAACCACTGTTCTATCGCTCAGAATATCACAAGAATATTCGTTGGTGAATATTCCTTTGCAAACCTGTCTCATCTTCCATTCTTCACTGATGGAGGAGTTAGTGCAGTGGAGAAATGTTGGAGTGAGTTGTAGGTGTGTGGGAGTGTTGGGGTATACGGATGAGGTAATATGTATGTGTATGCATGGATAACTAAAGTGTAATGAACACTTGACAATGCTCAGTAATAACCCAACCTAATACAACCTAATACAGAACGTCTCACATCAAAGATCGGTATGTGGCATTCAGTAGGCACATCCCTATTTTTTAAGCTAAACTATGCTTCAGGTTGAGGAGTGCATAAACAATCCCCATATTGAGTACACTCATGCGAATTTTTTTCCTATGAAGTGGCTGTTCTTTTAGCATTAAGACAATTGTTTCATTACTGTATATTTTGTTGATTAACTAGCAAATTTCATACAATTTCTAAGAAAAGTGGATTTATTATTATTATTCTTATTATCACGGAGAAGTCCGCAGGAGTTATATAGCGCCTAAATCAAGGAAGGGAAGGAGGGTGGAGTTCTTAGGACCAACAACCCTCCACTAATTTACATAATGCTACATCGTGGTTTTCCAGCTCTCCGACGAGAGTGTCTTGACCTGTGGCGAGTTATCCGTGTTGGGGCGTCATGCCCTCTGGACCGCTGATAACGTCTAAAGTTGTCGTCGCTACGTCTCTGTCGTCCCACCTCAGCGTCTTGGTGTGAGTGAGGGATTATTGATGCTGTAGCCTTGTGTGTGGCGTCTCTTTTTGATGTAGTTGTGGGCATTTTGTGGAAGTTGTGGTTGTTGTTGTTGATGCTGCCAGCATGGGCGAGGGGGTCGTTGATGGGGTCTTCTGGCTCGTACAGGTTCACTGTATCGCTCACACTGGTCTGTGGCCGAGGATATGCAATGTTGGGAGAGTTCTTGACACAAGAATCTGAGCAGGCCTTGGTCGAGGCTTGACTCGGGCATTGAGATTCTTTGTCAAGATCTTTCACCGAGGATCCTCCTTTAGAATCACGTAGTGAGACAGATCGTGTCACCTGTCCTTTAGACTGTGCTGAAGTCTTCCTATGTCGGGCCTGCAGAGAGTGAAATGTTCTCTGCAGCTGTGTGTCTTTCGTGTCGTCCTTGTTGCTGTCTGTTTCTTGGCTCTCTGTCTCGTCGCCTGTGTGAAGTGTGAGAGTGAGGGTGTCATGAGCCTCGAGTGTAATAAAACGATACCCCTGTGGGCCCTTGTGGCTGCCACACACATGGAAACTCTCCCTCAACGTCGGGATTTCCTTTCCTCCAGACATCTGTTCGTGTTTTTCCTTCACCTCCTTCACCACATTCTCCAGTCCACTGATTACCTCCTCCTCGGCTTCCCGTACTCCCTGCAGCGCCTCCCCGCGGTTCACCTAAACACACAAATGTTCAACATTACACACAGTGCATCATACGATCGTTAATGTTTACCTGTCAATAGTTACCGTAACTGCTGCTCAAGTTTACAAAATTATTGCATTACAGTCTGTGTGTCTAGTAAAACTATTCCAAACACACTAACCCCACCTCCCCCCCACACACACACACACCACGAACAAACCCACAAGGAAGACAGCCTCACCAAGTAAAACAAGAAACTATGGCTATAAATTAAAACATAAGAGTTACTGAGAAAACACTATAATTTTCCTATTACACAGTAGTAGATCAGTGGAGTGATATACATAAGGAGGTACTGTAATTACAGGAAACGACTGAAATGTTTATGATAAACTGAATATTGAAGACGGAAAATCAAGAGCATACACATGTAGCTCGGCTCCTGAAGCTATAAAAAGGTAAATACTAATAGGTAAGCAAATATGTAAACACAAATAGGTAAATGCACATCAAATCTATTAGAGAAACGTGGAATTATGGAAGGCAAATCTTATCTTATGAATCAAATAGCAGTTGATGACTGAGAGGTTAGGAAGAGACGGATAAAGGGTAAAATCCTAGTGCCATAAATGTCATACAAACGAGGCTATGATGCGAGAAGATAATCAAAGATTTTTAAACTACAAGAAGAAGGAAAGCAACAATAATAACACCACTAGCACTAACAACAATAGCATTAACAACAGCACTAACAATATCAACAACGCTAATAGCAACAGTACTAGTAGTGGACGCACCAGTTGAAGGATCTCAGTATTGAAGTGACTCAGGGCGCGGTGTTGGTGTTGGGCGTGTGTGAGGGCGGCCAGGACGCGGGTGTGGGCGTGTCTCAGCACCTTACACGCCCACCTGTACACCTCCACCTGCTTCTCATACACAGCTACACGCCCACACGCCCATGCGCACGCCTCTCCAGCCGCAGCAATCAACTCCTCCTGTAACAAAAAGATGAAGCAGATATGCCATCTTTGTACCTGTATCTTTTAAGTCTTGTGTACCATATTATATAATAAAATATACCTATTAGTAAAAAAAAAGATGGAGTGGTAGGAAAAGTGGAATATTCAAATGGATTCAGGATGAAATCCAAATATTTTTAATCCTCGAAGCTTTTTTATCCACTTCTCCGAGGCTATGGATCCCACAATGGAAACATCTGATCGCTTTCGTAGTTTTTACATACACATCTTCAGATGAACCAATAACTGGTTTCTAATCTTTCTAGTGCCACCAAGACTAAGTCTGTACTACTCCTGGGCAGTCTTGTACAGACTTAGAACACTACTGAGCAAGCCATGTGTTATCTTCTGCAAGCGGCGCTCAATGCACACGACAAAGGTTACATATCCACTTCAAGAAGTGTGTACATAACTGGTTCATTGTTGACAGTATGAGAAACTTCCAGCGTTAGTTTAGTTAGTTTAATATATTTATTATGCACCCCCATACCCATCCTGTGGGCGGTAGCCAAAAGATTACAGAGGTACATAATGGGTCCAGGACTATATCAGTTCAGTGCCAGGGACGCAAGCATGACCTTCAGTTCAGTGCCAAATAGGCAACTGAGACATTCATTTCAGTGCCAGGCATGCTAACGTGGCCTTCAGTTCAGTGCCAGGGACGCCAGTGTGACCTTCAGTTCAGTGCCAGATAGGCAAGTGTGACAGTAATTTCAGTGGCAGGCATGCTAGCGTAACCTTCAGTTCAGTACCAGATAAGTTGGTGTGACCTTCAGTTGAGTGGCAGGCACGCTAGTATAACCGTAAATTCAGTGCCAGTAAAAACATTGCCAGTCACAGCATGAGCCAGTTCAAGAAGACAGCCAAAAGGTACATAATGAATGAAGCGACAGAAAGGGAGACTGATTTTTTTATTTTTTTTTAGGTAACACACATGTAAATATAAATAACTCATTTTACCTTATTCCTAGTATATCTCCTTTATAGTATAATAATAATAATAATAGTAATAATAATAATAATAATAATAATAATAATAATAATAATAATAATAATAATAATAATAATAATAATAATAATAATAATAATAATAATAATAATATTTCCTTTATAGTACAATAATAAGGTATTAAAAGGACCCCAATGGAAATAAGTCACTTTGACTTTTTGGGTTATCCTCGGTTCTCTACACATGCTGCTATGTATGATAATCTATGTATTTGTGTACACCTGAATAAAACTGCTTACTTACAGAGGTGTGAGGATGATTACAGAGGTGTGAGGATGAAAGATACGTGTAGTAAGTACCTGGAGGCGGTGCATCTTGTCTTGGAGTGGTCGCAGGGTGTGGTGGAGGCAGGAGGGCGCAGCCACACTGTTACAGGTGTCACACCACAACACCAGCCTGAAGGAAACCACACCATGGTTGCTACCTGTATATACAAATTTATACGCCAGTGAAACTCTATAAGTTCCAAGCTATGGACTCGCAAATTGACTAGTCACTGAGAGTGCCTTGATGCCCGTGAAAGATTCTTGAGTCAAGGGCAGCTGGCCAGTCCTTCCTTACCCTGCCCTCTCGCACCCCAAGCGTTAAGTTAGATTAGGTAAGATCTGTCTGGAAACAGGACAAGTGTTTCTCGACGCGGGTCTTATTCAATGATGACCCGCCGCTGGAACTTTTGGTCACCTGACCGAGGCCTTCGGATGGGTATGGGGTGCATAATAAACATATTAAACTTAAACTAAAACTCCCCAAGCACTGTATGGGAAATAAGGGCGCTGCACCTCCCCAGGAATGACTAGCATTAACTAGACAACTGGGAGAGAGGTTGTCAAGCTACTGAAAGAACGTTTTATCTAAGGAATTAGCAGCGCTGTATAGCCCTTGTGGCTTAGCGCTTCTTTTTGATTATAATAATAATAATAATCTAAGGAATTAAAGTTACCTTCTCTATCCTAGATCAAAGATAGTTACCCCTTGAATCTCCTATCCTCTAGACGCTATATTACTTCTATAACTTTAATATTTCCCAATGAATATGGTAATACTTTCGATAACTGAAGTAATTACAGTACTGGAACCTGTAGTGAGGATCTTCAGGTTGCTGCAGACGCAACAACTACCAGACAACTATAAAGACGCTAATTTAGTCTTAAAAAAAAACATAAGATTTTGTTTGGATTTAAGCTGGAGGGTTAGTAACCCAACATAGCAAAATAAAGTTCAAGCGTCATCAGGGACTGTTTTGTGGTGCTTTAAACTTCCCCAGGATGCGACCCACAGGAGTCTACTAACACCCAGGTACCTACTTACTGCTAGGTGAACAGTGACAGCAGGTGCAAATAAACATGTCCAACGCTTCACTCGGGGAGCGATCGCCGGTCCCTCAGTGTCTGAGTTAAAAATGCTACCAACTGAGCCACGAGCACACGTTCAAGCAGTGAGAAAAGCAAGGACAGCTGAATTTAGTAACTTTCAATGTTAATAAGCAAAGTCTAGATTCACTCCTTGCGGTGACAGGGGGTTACCGTTGCTCATACAAGTAGGAGCCCCCAGCTAGGAGTGACAATATCAATGACTAATACAACAAAAAGTCTTAGAAGAGATAGGAGGATGGTTGAGTACGTAGAGAGGGAAAAAACTTTATAAAAGAAAACTAATATGGATTTGGGGAAGGTGAATCCTGCCTCATGAACCTACATGAGTTTAAAAATAAAATGTCACAGTACCATAGCTGGAAAAAAATATACACATAACCCACACTTAGAAGACTAAAACTTTACAGTACGACTTGGACCATTCATAGGCCACACAGAGGATTGTACGACAGAACTAGCAAGAAACGCAGGAATAGATCGACTGCACATTCTTGGACTACAAAAAAAAAAAACTTGACATTGTACCTTGCCAGAGGCTGATACCCAAATTCTAGGAGCAAGCAGAGCTGCAACATAAACTTTAGTGGACCATGAAATGCATGAAGAATAGAAAATAAAACTGATATATGTTTGAGAGAAGAATATCACGTAGAGCGATGGTAAAAAGTGGGGTACCCCAAGGATTACAACTCGGATCATTACTATGACTATCTGTTAATGACCTGTCAGATGACTGGAATAAGAATGAAAGAAAATAGAAACAGTCTGCGTGAAGACTTAGGGAAGCTACGAAGACAATCAAAATAGTGGCGGCTAGTAATGAAAACTGGGGAACGAGAGATCCAAGAATAGAATAGAGCGTGAGATGAGGAATTTATTTAGAGAGAAAGATATACGAGTGAACATCACCAGAGATAAATATATATCTCAAATCATCAGCAAAATATGGAATGCTGTATTTAAAGGCGGAATGTTGAAAGCTGTGGGTAAGAAGGCACAACACGTAGAACAAGCTTTTGTTGGGACTGTTTCCCGAAGAGTTGAGGATACTTTTTACACACACAGGTCACTTGTTCTATCTAGGCTGGAATATTGCTGCACACTAACAGCACCTTTCAAGGCAGGTGAAATTGCCGACCTAGAAAATGTACAGAGAACTTTCACGGCGCGCATAACGGAGATAAAACACCCTCAATTATTGGGAGCGCTTGAGGTTCCTAAACCTGTATTCCCTGGAACGCAGGAGGGAGAGATACATGATTATATACACCTGGAAAATCCTAGAGGGACTAGTACCGAACTTGCACACGAAAATCACCCACTACGAAAGCAAAAGACTTGGCAAAACGATCCCACCATCCCCCCAATGAAAAGCAGGGTGTCACTACACGTTAAGAGACCATACAATAAGTGTCAGGGGCCCGAGACTGTTCAACTGCCTCCCAGCACACATAAGGGGGATTACCAACAGACCCCTGGCAGTCTTCAAGCTGGCACTGGACAAGCACCTAAAGTCATTTTCCGATCACCGGGCTGTGGCTCGTATGTTGGTTTGCGTGCAGCCAGCAGCAACAGCCTGGTTGATCAGGCTCTGATCCACCAGGAGGCCTGGTCTCAGACCGGGCCGCGGGGGCGTTGACCCCCGGAACTCTCTCCAGGTAAACTCCAGGTAAACACACACTCGACCCCTGCAACCACAATTAGGTGAGTACACACACATACACACACACACACACATGTACTGAAAAGGAAGAGGAGGGAATAGACAGAAGCCAAAACTGCAGATGCCAGAGTTGTCAACAAATACTTCTCCAGTTTCAGGTTAATAAACAGAATGAACGAGATGAAGAAGCGATGACGATCCTTCCAAACACACTGAAAATCTTTGAAGAATATTCCTCTGAGTTAGTGGGAAGGAAAACGTGATCAGTAGACTGCTGCTACAGATTTGCTGATAAGCTCTCCTAGAACAGAGATAAAAGAAAGTGTGTGTGTGTGCACATAAGGACTCACCTGGGGAGGGAAGGGGAGCGTAGAAGTCCCCTCAGGTAGAAGTTCGTCTGCAGCGTGGAGGGGTCAAGGATGAAGGTGGAGGTGCGGCAGAGTGGACACTTGATCCAGGATGACCCCGTGGGTTCCTCATTTTCCACCGCGGCGTTAAGGGATGACCTTGAGCCCATGAGGCGTGTGAGCGGTGAGATGGGCGTGGAGGGCGAGGTAGAGGGCGTGGGGGCATGCTTCAGGGCAGCTTTGTAGAGGAGAGCCACGCAGGAGACACAGACGCTGTGGTGGCACAAGAGGAACTTGGGCAGATGGTCCTGGGAGTCCCACGTTTCCAGGCAGATAGGGCAGTAGGTGGGAGGTGCCTCGCCCGCCGGGGAACTACCCTGCGGAAGTAACAATAAGGTCATGATACACCGGGAAGAACTACACAGGAAAGAAGCTACACCGGGAAGAAACTACAATGTCCAGTGTGAATTAGACACATGTTCAACACCTGGATATCTTCACTGAGAGAAGTTACACATGCTCAGCAAGTTATTCAATCACCTAATCAATCAAATTAGAATCAAATTAGGTGTAGAATCTCTAAATAAAAACACCCAGGAGTTGCACATGTGTCTAATTCATCAGTGTGTTGATATCATGTACCTTTGATCATGGGATACTGGCTGGAGTAATTGAGGGCAAGACTCTCGCTGCTCTGCTATGATTTGGACCATTGAACTGCTCTTCTGTATAACAACATAAAATGCCCATTTGCTGATAAGATGATCTTCAGCACTGTGTACTTGTACATAAATGGTATACAATACCGACAAGATAGACTACGTTGCTCTTCACCAATTCCAAGGCCGAGGGACCAATTACCTCGCCTTTTGTATATACTTCTACAGTCTTGGGCAGAGGCGGCGTGGGGTGCTGTGGCGTCTTCAGATTACTTTTGACTCTACTGAGAGTGACACTGACGCCAGGATAACCAACAAAGAGCGATCTGTGCGTTAGTGTGAACAAAGTGTTTCACAAAACAAAATAAACACTTACAGAGAAGTGTCCTTGATTTTATATTAATAAAGCCGCTGGAAGGCGAAACATCAATAAATAAAGATACCCGGATGTTTCACGTGTCTAATTCTTCACTGTGTACTTGCCACTGAGGACCATCTTTGTGGTAGTGTATCACTCATATGGGCTTTAGCCTTAGTTTTGAAATATGAAAAAAAAGTGTTTCTGGACCCCAATCATCCCCGCCCCCTCACACCCCTTGAATAAAACTAGAGAAGCACTCCAAAACTCTCACCTTGCACGCCATTATTCCTTGTAGCGGCGACTACTAAGACAGTCGGACGGTTGAAAGCAGACACAGGTATATTAAAGGTACAGGCATGCTCCTCCTTACAGCGTCACTCGTGAGTCGTACTTTCATGTACTACTACCTCTAGTACAACTAAATGGAAGTCGTACTGGCAGACGGTACTAGTTCTAGCACTCTTTCAAGTAGGTTGTACTTGCACACACAAGTATAACCACCAGAGTCACTGAGAAGCAAACATGCTCTTATCTAGCGCCTGGTTGTCCAGGTACCCGCTGAGATAAGATAACAGCAGAAATATCTCTTGATAACATGAAGTTTCACTTGCTGAGTGTTTACTACCCACACTGACAGATGTGGGTCTTGTTCCATCTTTTACTTCCCACACTGACGCTGGCTGATAGAAACAAAGGAGGAGACATGATAACATACAAGGTTATAAAATATCATGAAAGAAACCATCCATTAGCTTGTGAGGCACCTCCAACAGTGATAACAAAAAGCCACAGAAGAAAATTAAGAAAAAAATGAGTCAAATGGGTATTGGATTTTTTTTTTCAAATAATAGCAGAGGAATGGAACGCATTGCAAGAGACGGCAAGTAAGTTTATTTAGGCACAAGTACACATAAATACAATTATCATACATAGTGTAAATTACTCAGAATAACCTAAAAAAGTCAAAGTGACTTATTTCCATTGGGGTCCTTTAGACCATTTGAAATTGCTGAAAACGGGACTCCACGAGCATAACTCTGCTGCTGTAAGTACAAATAGTTAAGTACACACTTCACAAGAGGCAGGTGACAATAATCAAGTGCTAAGTTTACCCAGAATAACGTTCTCTGTGGGAACCTCAGGAAGGAATCATAGAAAATGGCTCTGTATTCTTTCTCCTCTCTTCCCCTCAAGGAAGGTTCCTTGATGTTGGTGAGGGGCTCTTGATTTAGGGAATTGGATCTGTGCTCCAGTTCCCCGAATTAAGCCTGAATGCCTTCCACATCCCCCCCCAGGCGCTTTACAATCCTCCGGGTTTAGCGCTTCCCCCTTGATTATAATAATAATCATCTAAGGAGCCTATTTAAGTAAAGTTTGACATAATTATATAATTTTATACCTGAGTTTAAATAAAATATAAAAAAAAAAGATACTACAAAAATTTGAAATGATCAAGGTCCAAGGACCGAAACGTCTTCAGTAAAGGTAAACGCCTTTATGTCCATCTCCTTCTATTTTTATAACCTTAATTTTTAAAGGGGTGGACCAGTAAGCCAGTGGAAGGCCTCGATCAGATGATCAAAAGCTCCAGATCCGCGTCAGGAAATGCTTGTCCTATTTCCTGATAAATCTAATACCTAATACCTCTATTTATCAGCAGTCATTTGTCTATTTACTACAGGAGATGACGTCTCTGAATCTATCGCAGACACAATATGGCCAGCGTTGTCGCCAAGGATGAATACATGCGAGGAATCAAGAGCTCTGAAGTGCTTGAAATGTAATTAGTATCTGGGAAGATATTTAGGTTAGGTAAGGTTCGTCAGGAAATATTTTCCTGACGCGAGTCTTTGTCAGATAATTACCCGCCGTTGGAGCTTTTGGTCCTCTGACCGAGGCCTTCCGCTGGCTTACCGATCCACCCCTTTAAAAATTATGGTTATAGTTATAACCATTTGTGAAATACGGCTGTGTAAATAATATTACTGTAACACTGCTTATTGACTCCAACAGCCGTCCTGGTGTCACAAAATCATAAATCACAGCCGTGTATCTCACTCCATTAGATGATTTAGAAGCTTCAGAGTGCACACAGCAGTAACTTCGCTGTTACCCGGAATGTACCGCCTGTTAGTGGCTGTCTTTGGTGCTTAATAATATTTTACTTCATGTAAAACTACACTTTGTATATTGTAAAAAAATGAATAAAATAGAGATGTACTGCAGGAGTATTGAAACCTGTTATCTGCCTTCACCACCAAGTATTGAAACCTGTTATCTGCCTTCACCACCAAGTGTTGAAACCTGTTATCTGCCTTCACCACCAAGTGTTGAAACCTGTTATCTACCTTCACCACCAAGTGTTGAAACCTCTGTTATCTACCTTCACCACCAAGTGTTGAAACCTGTTATCTACCTTCACCACCAAGTGTTGAAACCTCTGTTATCTACCTTCACCACCAAGTGTTGAAACCTGTTATCTACCTTCACCACCAAGTGTTGAAACCTGTTATCTACCTTCACCACCAAGTGTTGAAACCTGTTATCTACCTTCACCACCAAGTGTTGAAACCTGTTATCTACCTTCACCACCAAGTGTTGAAACCTGTTATCTACCTTCACCACCAACAGTATTGAAACCGTTTTTTACAGAAGTCCGATGTGCCATAAAAACCTGTTGATCAAGAACTTCATAAACCTGGTTCTAGCCGCTGGAAACATGATTAGTCGTTGACTAACCAGGATAACTTCTGACCATGGACTATCTATATCATAATAGTTGTAGTAGTGGTGCGTGCATCAGTAGTGGTAGTTTTAGCGAACGAAATATTCATATACGGTCTTCATTGCGATATAGTAATTTCCATACCTCTGTGGGCTGACGGAGCAGAGGATGGGGAGAGAGCCTTTTGCTATATTATTTTAGCCTCGACACCATAGATGGAGGCAGAGGAAGATAGACCATAGCTAGCACTCATCGGACAGCAGTGACTTTGTAAATGGTCTAAGTCGGACCGAAACGTCGTCGTAAGCTCCTCTCTTCTATGTGCGGGTTATTTGAGTATCGTTCCAGTCACGGTATTGTGCCCTTTTTTTTGTTATTTAGCAGTATAGTATTGCGAATGTACTCTTGTGACTTTTCTTGAACGTAATTTAAGTTTTCTCTCTTCCGTACTCTACCATCTTCTTTCCCAAATCATCATCAGCTCCTTCACTCCCTCTCCCTTTTCCTCTGTCCTTCCCTCCCTCGTTCCTTCCTTCAGCATTTACCTCCACACATAATTCTGAAGGTCTTTCGCTAGCCTTCAATTGTCAACTGAGAGGACCATCTGATCCAAGTGTGTACTCACCTATTTGTACTCACCTATTTGTGGTTGCAGGTGTCGAGTCTTAGCTCCTGGCCCCGCCTCTTCACCGGTTGCTACTGGGCCCTCTCTCTTCCCGCTCCATGAGCTTTATCAAACCTCGTCTTAAAACTGTGTATGGTTCCTGCCTCCACTACGTCATTTTCTAGGCTATTCCACTGCCTTACAACTCTATGACTGAAGAAATACTTCCTACTATCTCTCTGACTCATTTGTGTCTTCAACTTCCAATTGTGGCCTCTTGTTTCTGTGTCCCCTCCCTGGAACATCCTGTCTTTGTCCACCTTGTCCATTCCACGCAGTATTTTATATGTCGTTATCATGTCTCCCCTGACCCTCCTTCCTCAAGTGTCGTCAGGCCGATTTCCCTTAATCTTTCTTCATAGGACATTCCCCTGTGTGTGTGTGTGTGTGTGTGTTTGTGTGTGTGTGTGTGTGTGTGTGTGTGTGTGTGTGTGTGTGTGTGTGTGTGCGTGTGTGTGTGTGTGTGTGTGTTGTGTGTGTGTGGTGTGTGTGTGGTTTTTGTGTGTGTGTATGTGTGTATGTGTGCGTGTGTGTGTGTTTACCTGGAGTTTACCTGGAGAGAGTTCCGGGGGTCAACGCCCCCGCGGCCCGGTCTGAGACCAGGCCTCCTGGTGGATCAGAGCCTGATCAACCAGGCTGTTGCTGCTGGCTGCACGCAAACCAACGTACGAGCCACAGCCCGGCTGATCCGGAACTGACTTTAGGTGCTTGTCCAGTGCCAGCTTGAAGAGTGCCAGGGGTCTGTTGGTAATCCCCCTTATGTGTGCTGGGAGGCAGTTGAACAGTCTCGGGCCCCTGACACTTATTGTATGGTCTCTTAACGTGCTAGTGACACCCTGCTTTTCATTGGGGGGATGGTGCATCGTCTGCCAAGTCTTTTGCTTTCGTAGTGAGTGATTTTCGTGTGCAAGTTCGGTACTAGTCCCTCTAGGATTTTCCAGGTGTATATAATCATGTATCTCTCCCTCCTGCGTTCCAGGGAATACAGGTTTAGGAACCTCAAGCGCTCCCAATAATTGAGGTGTTTTATCTCCGTTATGCGCGCCGTGAAAGTTCTCTGTACATTTTCTAGGTCGGCAATTTCACCTGCCTTGAAAGGTGCTGTTAGTGTGCAGCAATATTCCAGCCTAGATAGAACAAGTGACCTGAAGAGTGTCATCATGGGCTTGGCCTCCCTAGTTTTGAAGGTTCTCATTATCCATCCTGTCATTTTTCTAGCAGATGCGATTGATACAATGTTATGGTCCTTGAAGGTGAGATCCTCCGACATGATCACTCCCAGGTCTTTGACGTTGGTGTTTCGCTCTATTTTGTGGCCAGAATTTGTTTTGTACTCTGATGAAGATTTAATTTCCTCATGTTTACCATATCTGAGTAATTGAAATTTCTCATCGTTGAACTTCATATTGTTTTCTGCAGCCCACTGAAAGATTTGGTTGATGTCTGCCTGGAGCTTTGCAGTGTCTGCAATGGAACACACTGTCATGCAGATTCGGGTGTCATCTGCAAAGGAAGACACGGTGCTGTGGCTGACATCCTTGTCTATGTCGGATATAAGGATGAGGAACAAGATGGGAGCGAGTACTGTGCCTTGTGGAACAGAGCTTTTCACCGTAGCTGCCTCGGACTTTACTCTGTTGACGACTACTCTCTGTGTTCTGTTAGTGAGGAAATTATAGATCCATCGACCGACTTTTCCTGTTATTCCTTTAGCACGCATTTTGTGCGCTATTACGCCATGGTCACACTTGTCGAAGGCTTTTGCAAAGTCTGTATATATTACATCTGCATTCTTTTTGTCTTCTAGTGCATTTAGGACCTTGTCGTAGTGGTCCAATAGTTGAGACAGACAGGAGCGACCTGTTCTAAACCCATGTTGCCCTGGGTTGTGTAACTGATGGGTTTCTAGATGCGTGGTGATCTTGCTTCTTAGGACCCTTTCAAAGATTTTTATGATATGGGATGTTAGTGCTATTGGTCTGTAGTTCTTTGCTGTTGCTTTACTGCCCCCTTTGTGGAGTGGGGCTATGTCTGTTGTTTTTAGTAACTGTGGGACGACCCCCGTGTCCATGCTCCCTCTCCATAGGATGGGGCTTCTTGCAGTTCTTGATGAACACAGAGTTCCATGAGTCTGGCCCTG